CTACTACTACTACTACCACTACTACTCCTACTATTACTACTACTACTACGACTACTACTACGACGACTACTACTACTACTACTACTACTACTTCTATGACTACTACCACGAAGACTACTACTACTCCTTCTACTTCTACTACTACGAATACGGCTACTCCTACTACTACTACTACTACTACGACTACTACTAGTACTATGACTACTACTACTACTACTACTACTACTACTACTACTACCACCACTGCTACTACTACTACTACTACTACTACTAGTACTACTACTACTACTACTACTACTACTACTACTACTTCGTCTACTCCGACGACTACTACTACTACTACTACTACTACTACGACGACGACTACTACTACTGCTACTACTACTACTACTACGACTACTACTACTACTGCTACTACTACTACTACTACGACTATGACTACGACTACTACTATTAATATTACGACTGCTACTACTACCAATACTACCACTAGTAATCCGAGACTACTTACTAGTACTACTACTATACTACTACTACTCTACTCCTACGACTACTACTCTACTAACTACTACTGCTAAGCTACTGCTACTACTAACACTACTACTACTGCTGCTAGTACTACTGTATGACTACTCTCTACTACTACTACTACTAATTAGTACTACTAGTACTACTAGTAGTACTAGTAGTACGACTACTACTACTACTACTACTACTACGACTACTACTACTACTACTACTACTACTACTACGACTGCTTACTACTACTACTACTACTACTACTACTACTACTACTACTACTACTACGACTACTACGACTACTACTACTACTTCTGCTGCTACAACTACTACTACGAATACTACCACTGCTGATACACATCCTCCTCCTCCTCATCCTCATCACCATCATCATCATCATCATCATCATCAGCATCATCATCATCATCAGCATCATCATCATTATCATCATCATCATCATCATCATCATCATCATCATCCCCCTCCTCATCATCCTCCTCTTCCCCCTCCTCCCTATCCTCCTCCTCCTCCTCCTCCTCCCCCTCCCCCTCCTCCTCCTCCTCTTCCTCCTCCGCATCCTCTTCCTCTCCTCTCTCTCCTCCTCCCCCCCCCTTCCTCCTTCCTCCTCGTCCATCCTCCTCATCCTCCTGCTCCTCCTCCTGCTCCTCTCCTTCCCTCCTCCTGCTCCTCCTCATCCTCATCCTCATCCTTATTCTCCTCCTCTCCTCCTCCTCCTCCTCCTCCCTCCTCCTCCTCCTCTCTCTCCTCCTCCTCCTCCTCCCCCGCCTCCTCCTCCTCCTCCTCCTCCTCCTCCTCCTCCTCTCTTCCTGCTCCTCCTGCCTGCTCCTCCTCCCTCCTCCTCCTCCTCGTCCTCGTCTATTCCTCCTCCTCCCCCTCCTGCTCCTCCTCCTGCTCCTGCTCCTCCTCCTCCTCCGCCTCTCCTCCTCCGCCTCCTCCGCTCCTCCTCCTCCTCCTCCCGCCTCCTCCTCTCTCCTCTCCTCTCCTCCTCCTCCCCTCCTCCTCCTCCGCCTCCTCCTCCGCCTCCTCCTCCTCCTCCGCCCCCTCCTCCTCCTCCTTCTCCTCCTCCTCCTCCTCCTCATCATCATCATTATCCTCCTCATCCTCCTCCTCGCCTTCCAGCGATTTAGCCTGCTGATGTCCAGACGGAGCGAAGGCGACAACGCCACTGCCAATGTGAATCGTACATCACGCTCCGCGCTTGCGCATAAGAGTTAGGGGGAGGGTGGCACGTCCCCCAAAACATGGTCCTCAATTACAGCTTCTACCTGTAGCCCCCAATGTGTGGTGCCCAATTGTGGCCCCCAAGTTTGCTCTCGAAGTGTGTGCACGTGTGGGTTCGCACGCACGCGTGCTTAAATATACGGGTGTTGTGTGCTTTCTAACTTTTTCCATCCGAGGTGTCGCGGATGTTGCACTTGAGATCCGAGCTCACTAGAACCTAAGCTCGCACGAAGCGCGGGCGTGGTTAGTATGCGTATATGTATGAGGTCCAGGAGTGCATCGCTCAGCGTAGTGAAAGTTGAAGGTGCGTTCAACAGCATTGCAACAACATTGCTGAGCACACATGCATACACATATATATATATATATATATATATGTGGCATTGGATAGCGAAGGCAGGACTCCCAAGCCTGATGGCCCGCAAGGGGTCTGGCACATACAGACACAGACCCCCCTCTCGCAAGAGGACGCAGCGGAAATGCGCATCAAGGGACCCGATTCTTTTTGTCAGGGTACCCCGGGCATCCTCGTTGCGCACGCTGCGCGGTGATTTCCCGCGGGCGTTGAGAGCTGGGTCTCTTGCGGCCGCATCCGCCCTGTATCCGGACCCTCTATTCGGTGGCGTGCGAGGGGGGGAATCGGAGGTAGATAGACCTCATACCATGACACTTCGATTAGCGAATTGGCCGTTTTCGGTTCGCGGGAGGGCGTCGCTGCCGTCATTTTTGCAAGTCCAGGTCCGTCGGTTTCGGTCCTAGGCCGTCTTCACTAAAGGGATGTTCACTAAAGGGAGATTTGTTCACCGCCTAGCGAAGTGAGAGGGGGCTGGCCTTCTCAAACGGCTCGGAAGTCCTCCGGCCTCCTGAGAAGTTTCCCAGGCCTCTCCCGAGGGCACGGAAGTCTTCTCAGTAGGCCGGAGGGCTTCGAAGTCCCGCCACCTTCTGAGAAGGCCTTCCCCGCCCGCCGCCGATCTGTCAACCCCCGAACTTCGGCTCGGTGCTCGGCGTGCTCTTCGGCGTCATGCTGGGAGACGCATGGCCCCCGTGGACGACGTGGGCGGGCGGGGGGCTGATCTTCGCCTCCCTGCTCCTGGCCGAGGTGGCGGAGAGGTGGCCGAAGCGCGCCTGATCAGACGTATAGAGCGGTGGCCACGTGCGAACCCGACCCCCCACTCCCCACGAGTTCTAAGATTAAGTCGGGCGTGTCCCTCTACAGGAGGAATATTCAAAAATAGTCGCAACATAGTCGGGGGATGATTCGCTGACTATTCCCAACCATCCTGTGGTGTTGGGTCCTCGTTTTGAACAGAGGTCGCCACGCGTTCCTCTCCTCCTCCTCTCCTCCTCCTCCTCCCCCTTCCTCTCTCCTCGCGTCCTCATCATCATCGTCATCATCATCATCACCATCAGCGTCATCATCATCATCATCATCATCGTCATCATCATCGTCTTCAGCATCATCACGACCGTCATCATCACCAGCATCATCACCCATGTCGGCACACCCCTCACACGTTGCGTGGCCCCATAGGGAGTTCCACCGAAGGCCCAAGTGCCACCGCCCGCATGCGTCCCCCACACCCATGTCGGCACTTCCCTCACACGCTTCGTGGCTCCATAGGGACCCCCACCGAAGGCCCCGATGCCACCGCCCGCATGCGTCCCCCACACCCATGTCGGCACACCCCATCACACGTTTTCGTGGCCCCATAGGGAGGCTCACCGAAGGCCCCAATGCCACCGCCCGCATGCGTACCCCACACCAATTTCGGCACACCCCTCACACGCTTCGTGGCCTCATAGGGAGTTCCACCGAAGGCCCCAGTGCCAACGCCCGCATGCATCCCCAACACCCAGTTCGGCACACCCCTCACACGTTTCGTGGCCCCATATGGAGCTCCACCGAAGGCCCCAGTGCCACCGCCCGCACGCGTCCCCCACACCCATTTAGGCACACAGCTCAAACGTTTCGTGGCCCCATATGGAGCTCCACCGAAGGCCCCAGTGCCACCGCCAGCATGCCCCCCCCCCCCCCCCCACACACACACACACACACACACAACACGCACGCACGCACACACACACACACACACACACACACACACACACACACACACACACACACACACACACACACACACACACACACACACGCACGCACGCACGCACGCACGCACGCACGCATGCACACACACACACACACATACACAATTCGGCACACCCCTCACACGTTTCGTGGCCCCATATGGAGCTCCACCGAAGGCCCCAGTGCCACCGCCCGAATCATGCGCTCCCCACGCCCATTTTGGCACACCCCTCACACGTTTCGTGGCCCCGTAGGGAGCTCCACCGAAGGCCCCAGTGCCATCGCCCGCATGCGTCCCCCACACCCATGTCGGCACACCCCTCACACGTTGCGTGGCTCCATAGGGAGCTCCACCGAAGGCCCCAGTGCCACCGTCCGCATGCGTCCCCCACACCCATGTCGGCACACCCCATCACACGTTTTCGTGGCCCCATATGGAGATTCCATTCCACCAGCGAGGGTCTTTCCGGTGTTCTCGCTGTGGTCGCTGTAAACGAGCGGTGGAGGAGTGGCCTGGTGGATGTCGTCGTCGTCGTCTTCGTCTGGCGGCGGCTCCGGATCGCCCCGCGGCATGCGGGCTGGCGGCCGTAGACGCGCCGGGGATCCTCCGCATCCGCGGGAACGTGGCCAACCACGGGCTTGCGAATTGCTCGTCCAGGCAGGCCGTTCTGATCTGGTCTGGTGGACGTCCCGATGCCCCTGCCGCACAAGAAGTGCTACGTGTTCCTGCGCCCGGCGGCGCGGCATGGCGGGCTGGGCCCCTAGCGTGGTCGCTGCCGTCGCGCACCTCAAGGCGCTCGTCACGGACGGCGCAGGCGCGGACGACCCCTCGGCCATCAGCAAGGGCTTCAACAGCTTCGCGGAGGTCGAGAGCTACTTGGCCGGCGCGGACCAGCCGCCCTCCAAGGTCACCCGGACGGGCCCCCGCTCTTGCACGGCAGGGCCATCGCCACGGCGGCGTGCCAGGGGCGCACCATGCGAGAAGGCGACGGGGCGAGGGAACGGCTCTCTTGGGCAGTCTACAGCCGAACCTACTGGGCGCGAGCGGTCTGCAGCCAGACCCTCTCTCGGCCCTGTGGACTCGCCCTGGGCCGTCGGTTGTCTGGCGCGCTGCCTCCTCGGCCGACGGCGCCCAGGCGTGATCTGGAACTGCGGCCGCCACGAGGTCGGGAACGGCAAGAAGGAGGTCGACGACTGGTGGCTGGAGCTTTATGCGCTGCTCTCGCGCACCACGCGCTACGAGGACCTCCTGCTCACCCAGGCGCCGCGCATCGAGTTCCTCCTGGCAGGGCCGCCGGATGACTTGCGGAAGCAGCCGGGGCAGGTTGCGGCGCGCACGAAGCGGCGCAGGGGGAGGCGGCGGCCCCCGCCAGGGAGCTCGGCTTCACCGAGTTTATCCGCGAGGCCTGACTTGAGGAGCGCCCCCCCCCCGAGCCGCGCCTTCTCTCGACTGCCCAACTACTTGTTTGGCCTCGCGCTGCGGACGACCCGCGCGCGTCGCAGGGGCCCTCCCGGGGCGACCAGCGCGCGTCGCAGGAACGCCGTGCTGCGTTCTTCCCTGCGCCACGCTCGCCCGTCGTCGCTCTGTCCAGCGGTCAGAGCCTTGCCCGCTATCAGCCAGGCAGCTAGATAGCTTGCTCTCTTTGCTCCGCGCAGCGGACGACCCGCGCGCCTCGCCGGGGCCCTTCTCGGGCAACCAGCGCGCGTCGCGGGGGCCCCTCGCCGCGCTCCGCCCGCAGTTCAGGATTTTGGAGTGCGCGGGCAAAGAGAGGGGAAAAGAAGGGAAGGAAGCGGGCACGATCCTCGTGAGGGGCGCGCCGACATGGGCGTCGCGGCGAGCGGGCGCCGCCGCCGGGTCCCCGCGGAAGCTTTCTGCGGCGGCCACGCTCAGTGTCACGAGTGCATAAACAGGCATACCCGAACCATTCACATTCATATACATTTACACGAGGCGTAGCCGTGATCGCACTCGTGCAAATATATTCGCTCGCACGCAGACTTATTCACATTTAGATTCATTCGCGCTCAGATTCACCCGCGGTCAGTCTCTCGCAATTAGACCAATCGCTTGCCTTCGCGCTGTGTACCGCGCCACATTTCGGCACGCCCCAGATACGGTTCGTGGGCACCACCGAGGCAGATACTCATAATTGCGTTGCTCACAACTGCATATGGTTGGGTCTCTCGCCAGGATCACTTTTCCCAACCATCCTGTGGTGTTGGGTCCTCGTTTTGAATAGACAGCGCCCCGCGTCTCCTGCTCCTACCTTCATTCATCCCCCCCCTCCTCCCCCCTCTCCTCCTCCCCCTCCTCCCTCCTCCCCCTCGTTGCCTTTGCCCCCGGCACACCTCTCACACGTTTCGTAGCCCCATAGGGAGCTCCACCGAAGGCCCCAGTGGGGGTGTTCGCATGCGGTTCCTTCACCCAGGGCAACGCTTCGTGGCCCCATACAGAGCTCCACCGAACGCCCCACCAGGGGTGTTCGCACGCGGGTCCCCCACCCAGGGCGGCGCTTCGTGGCCCCATAGGGGGCTCCACCGAAGGCCCCACTGGGGGTGTTCGCATGCGGGTCCCCCACCCAGGACAGGGCTTCGTGGCCCCATAGGAAGCTCCACCGAAGGCCCCAGTGGAGGTGTTCGCATACGGTTCCTTCACCCAGGGCAGCTTTTCGTGGCCCCACAGGGAGCTCCACCGAAGGCCCCACTGGGGGTGTTCGCGCACGCGGGTGCCCCACCCAGGGCGGCGCTTCGTGGCCCCATAGGGGGCTCCACCGAAGGCCCCACTGGGGGTGTTCGCATGCGGGTCCCCCACCCAGGACCGCGTTTCGTGGCCCCATAGGCGGCTCCACCGAAGGCCCCAACGGGGGTGTTCACATGCGGGCCCCCCACCCTGGACAGCGCTTCGTGGCCCCATAGGGAGCTCCACCGAAGGCCCCAGCGGAGGGGGGGTCGCATGCGGTTCCTTCACACAGGGCAACGCTTCGTGGCTCCATAAGGAGCGCCACCGAAGGCCCCAGTGGGGGTGTTCGCATGCGTTTCCCTCACCCAGGGCAGCGATTAGTAGCCTCATGGGGAGCCCCGCCGAAGGCCCCAGTGGAGGTGTTCGCACGCGGGTCCCCCGCCCAGGGCAGCGCTTCGTGGCCCCATAGGGAGCTCCGCCGGTGCCCCCAGTGGGGGGGGGTCGCATGCGTTTCGTTCACCCAGGGCAGCGTTTCGTGGTCCCCCTGGAGAGCTCCACCGAAGGCCCCACTGGCGGTGTTCGCATGCAGATCCCCCACCCAGGGCAGGGCTTCGTGGCCCCATAGGGCGCTCCACCGAAGGCCCCAGTGGGGGTGTTCGCATGCGAGTCCCCACCCAGGACAGCGCTTCGTGGCCCCATGGGGAGCTCCACCGAAGGCCCCAGTGGGGGCATTCGCATGCGTATCCCCCGCCCAGGACAGTGCTTCGTGGCCCCATAGGGAGCTCCACCGAAGGCCCCAGTAGGGGGCATTCGCATGCGTATCCCCCGCCCAGGAAGGCGCTCCGTGGCCCCATAGAGAGCTCCACCGAAGGCCACAGCGGCGGTGTTCGCATGCGTCTCCCCCACCCAAGACAACGTTTCGTGGCCGCGTAGGGAGCTCCACCGAAGGTGTGGGGATGTTCGCTTTCATCTCCCCCGCCCAGGACAGCGCTTCGTGGCCCCATAGGGAGCTCCACCGAAGGCCCTAGTGGGGGGGGGTCGCATGCGTCTCCCCCACCCAGGACAGCGCTTCGTGGCCCCATAGGGAGCTCCACCGAGGGCCCCAGTGGGGGTGTTCGCATGCGTTTCCCCCACCCAGGACAGCGCTTCGTGGCCCCATAGGGAGCTCCACCGAAAGGCCGCAGTGACGATGTTCGTATGCGTCTCCCCCGCCCAAAACAGCGTTTCGTGGCCCCACAGGGAACCCCACCGAAGGCCCCATTGGGGGTGTCCGCATGCGTCTCCCGCACCCAGGAAGGCGCTTCGTGGCCCCAGAGGGAGCTCCACCGAAGGCCCCAGTGGGGGTGTTCACATGCGTCCGCGCCGCCCAGGACAGCGCTTCGTGGCCCCATGGGGAGCTCCACCGAAGGCCCCAGAGGCTGTATTTGCATGCGTCT